ATCTCTTTGTCCTGTAAATAAATCTCATGTTTCCGTGGGCTTTGAAATGCTGCTGTTGGCTGTCCCCTGCAGAGTCAGCTCCTTGCAGAGCCCCCCGGACCTCCGAGCTGCATTACCAATATCAGCAAGGTTCTCTGGGTAAGATGGGCTATCCTGTATTAGACCAACTAAATTGGTCTAATAAAAGATAGCCCATCTGCCCAAAGAGCCTTGCCTGCCAACGTGGCTATGACCAGCAACCCTGCAATATCAGCAAGGGCTGATCTCTTTCCCCAGGGCGGTGGGCATCCATCCGCTGCTTGCTCACGGTGGCCAGACTGGCCCTTTGCAAGCACCTCTGCATAAGTCACCCTCCCGGGACAGAGAAGGCCTTGAACTCCCCCTCCAGCATGGTCTAAAATAATGCACCTGAAGCAAGGCTGGAGGCAGTTACGCCGGGTTCAGCAGCTGGTAACAACGAGGTTGGAGGCGTTTGTTCTCCATCCACCAAAAGGCTCTGCCCAGTCAGGGGCTGAGATGATGGTCCTTTCACGCCAGGGCTAGGATGTGCAGCAACCCATCCTGCCCACTGGAAACCTGCCATCTGCCCATGCAACCTACCCCCGATACGTGCAGATCCTTTGCACAACCGCGGCGGCCTTGCCTGGGGACAGCCCTTGTGCTGAGGACCAGGCAGCCTCAGAGAGGAGAGGAGCATGCACAGCTCCTGCTGACCTCGCCGGGAGTGCAGCCTTGGCCCCAGCATGAGTAACGCCCTGTTCCCAGGAGCTGGCAGGTGCCGATATGGCACCTCTGGTTACCAGCTTGAAGTTGTCAGGCGGCAAAAGCAGGTAGATGTTGGCGAAAGGGTGCTGGCTAATGGCGGTGGCATTGCGTTTCCAGTAAGTCTGTTACCCAGGGGCTTGTCCCTGAAGGAGGATTGGGCGTGGGCACAGAGCTGCCGCGTGCAGGTTATAAGCACGCAAGCATGCACCCGTACAGGTGCAAACAGAAACCCAGGGGCTAAACTAGCACTGCCGTGTGCTAGCAGGGGTTTGCAGACTGCAGGCCTGGGGCATCTGTGTGTGGACATGAGACATCTTCACGGGCGTTTGCAGAGGCAGCTTTGCATGTGCGCTCGCACTTCAGATGGTGACGCTCTTGGGGCCTCGCCTCTGCCTCAGTGTTATTGGGTGTCGGGTGAAATAATCCAGCAGAGACCATTCACACAGGGAAGCCTTTTGTTTAAGAGACCTGGTATTGATTGCGAGGGGGAAGTCTGATTTAAAACAAAGCAAAAAAAAAAAAATTGGCTGCCGTTAAAAACCAAACAGCAGCCAAAGGTTCCTGCCTCCCAAATGGCATGGCCGGTCCTCCCACGCCTGCTCTACGCAACGCGTGTTTTACCTCCGCATGGCGTGGGCGGTCTCCGAGGGGGGCAAGGATTCACAGCGGGGAAATAATGCCAGACCCGAGCGGTGCTTTTCCTTGCCGAGTGCTCATCTTGCCTGTAGCAGGTGGGGTCGATGGGTTTCTCATCTCCGACGTGGTAGCCTGGGTGCTCAGCCTGGGGCACCGGGTAGAGCTCTTCGCTGGGCAGCAGCAGGAACTATTTGGTGGAGATCGGCAGTTCCCAGATGGTGCTGCCAGCTTGTTTAAAAATGCTCCCTGCTACTCGGATGTGTATCAGGCGGTGGAAAGCATCTCTTCGGTGCATGCTTAACTCTTTGGGGGCTGCACTGGGCTGCAGGAAGGCCTGGCGACTGTCTACACATCTTGCTTTTCTCTAGGGCCATAGGGGACAGGGCCAGGAGCAACGGCCTCCAGCTGCAGCAGAGGAAATTTAGCTTGGAGATGAGGGAGTCCCTGACCCCGAGGGTGGGCAGGCACTGGAGCAGTCGGCGGGACCTTCATCCGTGGAAGTTTTCAAGAGCGGGGTGGACAGACATGTGGATGGGGCGGTTTAGTCAGGGATGATCTGCCTCAAGCAGGGGGCTGGACTCGGTGTGACCTTGTAGCCCAATTTTCCTGTGAGCCCATGAAACCTGCCCGTGTGACCTCCACCCTCCCGCTCCCGGCTGCGAACTGCTTCTCCCCTGACTCAGTTTCCCTTCGCTGAGAGCACCTCGGTGCAAACCCATGTTTGCACAGAGGTGTACACACGTACACGTTTGCATGTACACACACAACAGGCTTCTCAGTTGTCACCCGAAGGGAGAATCTGGATAACTCTGCCTGTTATCCCTATGGCAACGACAGCAATTGCTCACCTGGAAGCAGTCGGGTATTTCTGGATCTGAAGTTTCTTTCTGTGTGAATTAGTAGCCGGAGGGAAGAGGGGGAGGGAGAGAGCGCTAATTTATAGATTCCAGTGCTTTGCAGAGGGGCCCGGCAGGAGGAACGGGGGCTTCTCCAGGGAGGGCCTGTGTGGATCTTAGTGTCCGTCTCCTCACACCTCCCAGCACCCTTCAAGAGAGCCAGCGGCACCCCACGTGAGAGTCCCCGATCCAGGCACGGCCGCCACCTCTCCCCGACCTGCGGCCGTTCAGCCCCGTGCGGCCCCTTGTCTCGGTCAGCGGCTCTCAACCAGGGCGGCGGGGCCTTGGGATCCTTTCAAGGGGGCCGCGCAGCCAGGTGTGCACGTGTGAGGGGCCCAAATGCGCTGCCCTGCTCCGGGCATGCTGCGAAAAACCGCTCTCGTCCGTCCAGAGTCAAGAGCGCTTGGGGTCACAGGGGTTGAGAGTCTCTGGTCTTGGGGGTTAGGGGGGTGACGACCCCAGCGCCCCAGCAGAAAGCGGCGCTCGGTGCTGGTGCGGGACTAGGGTGGCTGTCGTGGTCATCCTAGAGGCGCCCGGGGCCCTCTGAGGGGGCTGGACCCCGCCGGCGGTGTGAAGCACAGGTCGCCAGGCGCGGGGCAGGGGAGGGCAGCGCTCCTCCTCCTCGCCCTGCTCCGGCCGGGCGCCGCAGCCGGCTCTGCCTGCGGGAGCCCGCGCTCATCCGCACCGCAGGCACGTAGGATTGCGTAGAGCCGGGCCGGGCCGCAGCCCCC